TAGGTGAACCTGCGGAAGGATCATAGACACGTGAATGGCCGATCTTCGGGGTGTGGGACGCTGGCTTGCTCGCCCTTCCGCCGCCCTTTGCCCCCATCCTCCCTCCATCCGCTTTTCTCTGCCGTTTCAGCACCATCTTGGGCTTAGTGCCCAGCTGGCGGCTGGCCCGGCGCAGAGGGGCGCGTGGTGTAGGTCGAGGGTGGGGGGAGTGGGCAGGGTCCGGGGCCTTGTGGCGTTTCTCCCCCTTCATCCCGTCTCGCCTCCGCAGGTTGTTACCCCGGCCCAGCCCCACTCTCGACTTCTGGTCGGGATGGCGGTTGGTCCGGGCACGGACAGCCCTGCGGGAGGGTCAGGGGCGGGATGTCGGGTGGTGGCGGCGGCCCTCGGCCTGCGTACCCCCGCTCCTTCCCGTCTCAGCTTTGTCCAGACCTCCTTTCCATCCCGGCCTCGACCTCGGCTTCGTGCGGAGCTTGTGGCTTGTTTGGGGATCGAGGGTTGTGGTACAGGCTAGGGGCGGGGTGTGTTGCGGGGTCCTCGGCCCCCCCCCGTTTCGTCCTGCCTTCCTTCCCAACGGGGTTCTCCTTTCCGGACAGATCGTCGTCCTCGACACTGTCAAGGTGGTCTGAATCTTAGGGTGGTGGGCCGTTGGGGGAGGGTTTTGGTCATGAACGGGGTGGTGTCCGGTTGGGGGGGGGGGGAGGAGACAGAGCTTGCACCCTCGTTACCCTGCTGCTCCCTGGTGCCCTGCCTGGCCCCCTGAACGGGGGGGCGGGCGGGCCCGTGGAAGCGGCTGGTGGCGACGGCTTTGCAACTTCTTATTGATGTACCTGCTCTAATTTGTCAATGTCCGGGTTGACGGTCCCCTTCTGTTCTGGTCGAGGGGTCGGTCCTGTCGGAACGGCACCATATTGTAGAACTATCGGCAAACGAATATTTTGGCCCTCGCAACGATGAAGAGCGCAGCGAAATGCGATACTGAATGTGAATTGCAGAAATCCGTGAGCCATCGATACCTTGAACGCACGTGGCGCCCAAGGCTTCTGCCRAGGGCACGCCCGCCTGAGCATCATTGGATTCCTCATGACCTCAGCACCTTCCGTCTCGGAGAGTGGTGGGGTCCGTGGTCGTGGCTTCCCTGGCTTGCCACTTGGAGAGCGTCGATAGCCTAAAGTGGAAGGGAATTGGAGAGCATTCCGAGCGGGCCTGTGGGGGCCGCAGCCCAGAGGTTTGCGTTTCGCTCTGCCCTGTTGTTGCCCTCCAGCACCCGTTTGTGGGTGGTGGTCTTCGTTTCCCTGAAAACGGCACGTAAGGTCGTCCCTCTGGTTTGTGTCGTCGCAGCCTTCTGTTCGCTCCCATCAGCTTGAGGTGGGCTTGCGGTTAAGGGTGTCGGCCTCGAGTTTTGGAGGTACGTCGGGCCTTGCCTTTTGATCTCAGGTCRGGCGGGAGCACCCGCCCAATTTAAGCATATAACTAAGCGGAGGAAGAGAAACCAACGAGGATTCCCTTGGTAGCGGCGAGCGAACCGGGAATAGCCCAAAATGAAAATCCGGGGGCTGTGTTGCTCCCTGAATTGTAGTGTTGAGAGGCAACCTCTGCAGCAGGCCATGTGCAGGTTCCTTGGAAGGGGACTCCGAAGAGGGTGACAGCCCCATCGACTGCCGGACCCTGCTGCGCAATGAGGTGTTGTCCAAGAGTTGGGTTTCTTGGGAATGCAGCCGCAATTGGGTGGTAAGTCCCATCCTGTCTACCGTTTTGAGGTGGGTCAGGTGGCTCAGGTAGGGTGGCTTGTAGCATAGGACCATGGTGCACTCTGTCTGCCGCATTGAAGTAGGTCAAGTGGCTTGCGTCCGGTGGCACGCATTGTAGGATTGTGCGGATTTGCAAACAGGTGCCGTTTGATTTTGTCTTCGTTTTTTGTTTTTTTGTTTTTTGCCTTTTGTTT